GAAACATGAGGTGGTCACAGCCATCAGTGTAGAAGTATTCCCAGGAGTTCTGCAGACTGAACAGAAATACATAGGGAAATGGAGGGAAGCAATCGAGACAGAAATGAACATCAGACACAGCGAGACTTATTGTAGACCATCAGGAGCACGATATTTGGTGGGTTCAACGTTGGCTCCAATGTGCAGGAGCAGATATCCTGTACATTTCGTGGCTGTGGACGTGAAGAGTACAAGAACGATCGTGGATCAAGCCTTCTCAGTGCCGAAGTGTGTGAGATTGGCGAGAATGTCTGAAAAGTCTTACGAGTTACTATGTAAGATGTTTTCAGCAGTTCCGGAGAGAACCAAAGAAGAATTGGAGTCAATACTAGGAAAGAAGTTCATGGGATATGTGAGTGGGAACTTCAGTGACTTTGAGAGACAGAAACAGAGAGGATCAACTGTCACAGATTACAATGCAGTAGATGAGAATGATGAAGTCCACCGAGTGATGATGGAAGTGGAACCATTGCTGGAAGCTTCGGGAAAACGAAATTGGAGGAGCATCATGTTGACGCATGACGAGTTTCCTTGCCACTGCTTGCTGCAGACGTGGTGGTATCCCAAGCGTAGTAATCTGATGTTGATCTGGGACTCTGGAGAGCTGCTCTCCATGGGTTTACCAGATTCATCACAGCCCCTAACGATAGTGATATTGGGAGTTATGATGGCGATACGATGGCTGGAAGCTCATGTGAGAGAAAATAACAGACAGGAGGCACCGACGAGAGAACAGTTGCGGAAATTAGATTGTCTAAAAGATTTAGATCTTTTGGAGACAATGTGCAAATTTCTAAACATTCCGATGGAAGTGAAGAAGATATGGGCAAGAAAACGATTGATGCCATGGTTCAGAGCTAACATGACTGCATGGTTGTACGAGTATGCGAAAAAGCATATGTCGAAGCATGGCAGGGTGTACAGTGAATATCAGCTGGACATTGGAGCAGGAGCTTTCAAGCGAGCTCTCGTGACTCATCGGAATGCAGTGACCACCGCTGTGAAAAGAATTTCCAGGACGAGTGAACGTAGTGGAAAGGAGAAGGCAGAGATGCTGAAAGAAGATTTGGAGAGAAACGTGACGTTGTGTCTCCACAACAGCTTCTGCAGAAACAGAGAATCTAACGTGGATCCCCTACCTTGTTGTAAAGAGAGGGTGGAAGAGCAGAAGTGTTGGAGGACGGCTTCCAGCAGCGTCAGGATAGCTAACGACGTGTTACAAGATACAGAAACTGAGAGTGCAGAGTCAGTATCACAGGAGGAAGAAATGGAACATTGACGGATGACCGAAAAACAAGATAAAAAATAGATGAAATTAGAAGAATTTAGAAGTTTTAGAACTTCTAAACGACGAAAAAAGAAGAAAACAAAGGAGTGATGAAGAAAAATTAAAACTCAGAATTGTTTTATGTGTGTGAAAAACTCAAGTGAGAAACCAAGCAACCAAATTGTAATTGAAAACTGAAACATTAAGTTGAGTTTTGAAATTGTTGCATTTGTAAATTTGCATTTTGATTTTAGTTGAAGTGGCTTTAGAGACACTCACTTACTATTTATTTAGGAAGGCTTAAGTGAAGGAGTATATTTAAATATTCCAGCCTACATGACTGTTTTTAACCAGCTAGGAGAACTGATCACTTTGTGGTGACATGGAAGGCTTGAGTAATCTCTCGAAGAGGGAGATTGTTTCATTGTTCTTTCTAACCACAGAGTTTCTTAGTTTTTTATTCAGGACAATAACAAGCAAGATTTCCGAAGGGAAAAGCGTAGTAGGATAATTTTAGCTTGTTGGTTGGCAGGACTGTCCTGCAAGCCAACACCTTTTAAATCTAAGAGAAAAAGTTTTAATCGGGACATTGACATTGGAAGTCAGAAAATATGTTTTATCTTAAGTCATATCCTCAATGTGCAGATTAATGAGAGAACTTGAAGGCTATAGTGATGTAGTATGATGCCATTTATATTCTGCAGTGAGTCGATGTGACGTGGATAAAAGTAATTTCGTGCATTTTGTAAATTCTGTTCGATGACACTGAAACCATTTTACGAACATTGCGTGATTCAATGAGGACATTGACCGGACTGTCCGGGGAGTATGTGGCATTCGACCAGAATGTGAAAAATGCAATCTCTGCAGAATTCGAATTTTTAGCAGCGAGCCTTCCGGATTGGTGATTATTAAGAATTAAGAACGTTATTGGAACGATTGGCCAAACGGTGAGGGCTGGAATATTCTGGTATTTTAAAATTTCAAAAATTCGAATTATGACGTCATATTTCTGAGAAACGTCAGAAAAGGCCATTTTGGCTAAAACCAGAAAGAAAAACAGAACAACATTAGCTGCGCTAACAACAACTACGAAATCGAGATTGGAAAACGACAACGAGTTGCAGGAATAGCAGTGAACACTCCGAGTTGCAACTATTGTGTCGCTACAATAGTTGCAAGGCCGTTGCAGACAAAGGTGAAGGGTGGAGGACAGCCTTCCGGATTAAGAAGAAATCAAGATTAGCGAGCTTGATTCAGTGGATTCAAGAATCCGGAAGGGTTTCGGGACTGAAACTTTTAGCCTGTTATATAGACTTTTAGCTTCTTGTCATGTCCTGATCTGAATTTAATTAACATCTAGATTCATTTTGATAAGGATGAGAAGCTAGGAGTTGGGGGAAAGGGTCGATCCATCTTCGATGGAGATGATGATTTTTATCTACTGAGCAAAAACAATAGTAATATAATAAGTAGTAGCCCTGTTTTTAGGAGTGACCTCGTGGTCTGGGGACACTGAGACCCAGCCATGAGCTCACTATTTCTGCATGTAATCTAGTTAATTTGAGTGTTTTGACCGAAGCCGAAAGCAGTAACGTTTTTGTCGACCCGATGTTAGAAAGACCACCGAAAAGTACTGGCTTGGTAGAGACGGTGAAAAGCATGCAAAGCTCTGTTTAGACGTTAGCCAGTCGTCTTAAGACTTAGTTTTGTCTTCCGTCGATATGTATCTTCCGAGCGAATGTTACAAGCTCTTGTTCTCGTGCATGAAGACCTATCTTTCGTTTTATACATGTAGTTTTTTAAAATTCTTACGATACTTCTCAATTTTTCATTCTTGAATTATTGTCTTTTCAGAAGTTTTGAATTTAGACTTCTTCTGCCCTTAGACCAGGGATATCGATTCGAATCCGAGTATTCGACCCGAATACCGAGTATTCGGCACTTCGAAGCCGAATCCGAATATTAAAATTTTGAAATCCGAATATCGAATCCGAATATTTTTTTTTTTGCCGAATACCGAATAATCCAGGGTCCACTGCTAAAAAACCCGAATATTCCGAATATTGGTTTACTGTTTTGTTTCACAATATTTTTCTGTTTTTTTTTAAGATGGCTAATGTAGAAGAGTCTGATGTCGCTGCCGAGTGCGAGTATAGAAAAGAAAAAGGAGTGGCAAAATGGCATGAAAAATTTCTTGTGGAATATCGAGGTGGTAGAAAAATCCAGAGCGCCTATTTTCTTTATGCCGACTCAGTCGCAACTACTTACAAAATCGATTATCACCTGAGAATCATTCACGAAATGTTTTCTTAAATAAGAATAAAAGGTTTTTGAAATAAAACTGTTCATTAGCAAACTTGTTTTAAAATTACGGTCTCTTTTTTAAATAGTGTCACTCGATTTAGCTCGAAAAACTGGGTTGTCACTAATTTTTAACAGTTTTTAGCGATCTCAGTCGATTTAGCTCGAAAAACTGGGTTGTGAGTTGTGACTGATTTTTAACATTTACTCACTCCCGCGATTTTTACATTATTACGCAAGTCCCAGCCAATTCTAGTTGAAAAATGCTATGTTCAATACTTTTTATAGAATTTGTTGTATCAAACTTTTATGCTAAGTTTTTTGGGAAAATAACCAAATATCCGAATAGTTGTTCGAGTAGTAACATTTGGCCGAATCCGAATAGTAAGGGCACTATTCGGCCGAAGTCGAATATCGAATAGTTGGGCCGCGGCGAATAACGAATATCAAAAAATCCGAGTATTCGACATCCCTGCCTTAGACACATTCTGTTCTTAGACCATTCTGCTTATTGAGTGGCTACCGTTTCTTATCCAATAGCTTTCAAAGATCAATTGCAGCCGCACCTGTGCTGAAATTTTTCTGAATAAGATTCATAAGAACTTGAGCACGTGCACCAAGGAACCCAGGGCAGGTAGTTTTGCTTAAGCAAAAAATCTCCCTGGCATTACAGTTTGCGAACACTGACTGTGTAATCGGCAGTATGAATGATATAAACCAGTCTCGAAGACTTTTATTTTTTTAATAGAGATAAGGGAACTAAAGCGCAGCTTTTTGATAAGTATATGATAGACTCGTAGCCTCATATAAGGTCAGTCTTTTTAATTCACTTCCAACTCCGGTTAATTCTGTGCAGGTATTTTTGTTTATCAATCTGATTGGCTTGATTCCCAACCATCTAACTCTCTTTACTTCTATCCATATTATACTTTACTCTTCCAGATCTAGAAATTTCCTAGGATTTTGACTGGATAATGTGATGAAGGGACTCCTGTCTGTAACCTCGGTGTCTATGATATTTTCGAGCTTCCGATTACATTATTATGAAAAAAAAGTTTTAAAAAAATGCACGGTTTTTGAAGTGCATAAAGCATACTGTAGAAAAACACATCCTACAATATTTTTTTTCTGAATGTTTTGAACCTCAATGCAAGGCTCAAAAATGTGAAAAAGCTAACAAATGTTGAAGAAAGTCCATGCTATGGAGAAACTCATCAAAATAAAATTCATTTTATTACAATTTGATATTTTTTGGCTTGAAGTCCCTATTTTTACGACTCGACTTGAAGTCCCGCCGGCTTGATGTCCGGCTCCTCGCTTTTGCAACGGCTTTTCCTCATGGTAATTTAATTGTTTTAGCACGTTTTGTATACATTTTTATTACAGGAGAAATGTCAACTCCAATCGTAATGGAAATTAAATTGAAGCGTGTGAACAAAATCTACCGAGAAGGGGTTTGTATATCGTTTTTTTTTGTCCGAGCTAGCAGTTAATTGAGCTCTATTTTTAGGAATAATATACCAGTCAAACTTTGATTTCAGGAATCGCTTAGTGGAATTCTTGTTATTAATTCAAAAACAGACTTGAACCATCAAGGTATCAATCTATACATCGATGGAACTGTTGGGCTTTCACTCAGCAGCAAAAATGTGGGGGTGTTCGAAGCTTTCTACAACAGTGTTAAAGTTAGTAGATTTGGTTGGCTGGCATATAATAAGTGACTAAATTTTATAGCTATTAACAAATTTATCAAACAGACAGCGTTTTAAATTTTTTGAAATAACTCTGACCTTGAGACAAGGAAATGGCGTTAAAACTGCAACCATTTTTACAAAACTGCATTTGAACTGACAATTGAGCTATGGAAAATGATTGCACTTTTTCGGATAATTTCATTTTTCAAGAGCGCAATTGAAAAAACTTTTTCATTCAACAACGATTTGCCATGCAGTTTTTGAGAGCAAAAAAACAAAATGTCGACAAAAAAGGCAAACGCAAAACTTCAAAGAAGTGTTTCAATTGAGTTTAAATTTGAAGGTCAGAACTATTTCAGAAATTTAATACATGGAGTCCGATAGATTTGTAAAAAGATATAAACAACCAACTTTTCAGCCATTTATTTTTTCATCATAAAATAAGGATTAAACTACACCGAACTAAAATAATTTAGACAAAACCGAAAGGCTTTTAGGTAAGTACCTTATCTCTGAGACAATCAAATTGCTAACAGGTGCCAATTCAAGTTCAAGCTTCTGCAAGTCTATTAGTTGATAAGTATACACTTATGTGTTGTTTGAAGACCGATTTATTTTAGCCAGTTAACGTTCTCCACTATACAGTTGAAGTTGCCAAGTCAGGAAAACTGCCCAATGGCAAAACAGAATTCCCATTTGAAGTGCCGTTGAGTCCGAAAAGTTCTGCAAAAATGCTTTATGAAACATACCAAGGAGTCTATGTCAATGTCTCAGTAAGTCATTAATTTAGCTAGTGGATTTTTGTCTACCTATAAGGTTATCTTTGAGCTTTTTGTTTCAGTACACGATCAAATCAGAAATGAAAACCGGACTCTTAAAAAAAGACAAACTTGAACAGGTTGAATTCTTCGTAGAATATCCCCCGGTTGTTCCCGAGGACCTAGTCAATTCGAAATATGTGGACTTCAGTTTAGAACCAGAGAAACTAAAAATCAAAGACGTGAGTTTCTATTTTAATTCATTATAGTTTTCAGTGCATAATGTCCAGCAGCGATAAAAAGATGCCTATGTTTTAGAAGAATTTGGTGGTCCCAGATTTCAAAGTAGTCGGAACAATGGACAACACTGTGCATAGTATATTGAAACCGTACACTGGAACAGTAAATGAAATGTCTTATGGCTCTTTTTACCTATTTCGAGCTTAATTTTAATCTAATTCTACTACCCATGAAAATTATAGAAATTAGCGCAAAAATCAAAAGTAGGGCTCAAGTAGGTTTGGTTTGTTCAAAGAATTTTTCCAAGAAATAATTTATCGAAAAAATTCAACTATTTTTTTGCGTCACTGACTGGGCGAAACATTCCGTGATACTTGCACAGCAACCACGTACTTGTACTGTTGTTTTGAAAGTAGCAGACAGTGTCCGTCATTCTATGGTAGCAATTTTCCAAATGTCGCATACAACAATTTTAGTAAGCCTACAAGGCAGATGGCCCAGAAGTTAGTCAATGGCAAAAAAAATCTCGTGCAAAATTCCCAGCGTGTTTGGTAAAGAAGAATCTTAATTGAGTGTTGTAGTTTCCATTGAATTGTTAGGTTTATTTAGATCAAAGTTGTCCATTCTCATACTCCAATCAGGTCCATAGAAGTGCAGCTGGTACGAGTAGAAACATGTGGATGTGCTGAAGGATACTCTAAAGATGGTGAGACGATATTTTTGTTCCGATCATTGAAAATGGAGAGGAACTTTGTATGCGGTCGTGTTTTATATTTTTTTCTTGTTTTCCACGCAAAATTAGGTACCACAAGGGGCTCTTTTCCAGTTCCCCCCCCCCCCCCCTTTCAAATTCAACTTTGAAAAGCTCATTTAACTTTGTCATAATGCAATGAAATTTGGCGTGGTGAACAAAGTAAAACAAACATAAACCTCGGTATTTTGAAAGGTGGGGGGGAAACTGGAAAAGAGCCCCACAAGGAATCATCGGACTGGGTTGAGTGACATATTATATTAAATCACTTTCAGTCTTGATTCGAACCACATTAAAAATTCTCAAACTTTTTTTCTCTTGTCGAGAAAAACCGGTAGGAAATTTCTGATTTTTCGTCTTACTTCGAGCAAATAAAGCGAGCGAGAAGTCTTAAAAGCTTACAATAGCTTAATTTAAAACGCAAAAAAATTAGTTTTATTTGGGTAACATTAATTTACATTGAGTATTTTAGCGCCTTTTCAAAAAACTTGAAATTTTTTTTTTCGATTTTGTATTTCTGATAATTTTTCTACAAAAATTGCTTCTCAATTTGCTTATTTTAGTATGGCTGTCGAATATACTTAATGCCCAGTTTTTTGTTCAGCTCCTTTAATCACACCACTCCGATTTTTTTTTGTTATATTGTATTTATTTTTGTAAAACTATTTTTGTTGAAAAAAAGGTTTGTGTTTTTTCAAGACTGGTCGGAAGATTCTGTGCGATTTGCACAGTAACCTGCTATCCTTGTTTTTAATATGGAATTTCTTATTTTTATCTTAACTTCTGCGTGCGTGCGCTGCTCATGAGGTTTAATTAGCCTTTCTTCATTTGAAAATGATTTAGAACCAGCAGGGTACTTACTCTGTCATGGATGCCATGAATAAGAAACTATATCATGGCAAAACCTTTGAAATAGCATACGTATATGCTAATGCTAATTTTTTGTCACATGCACGCTTTCGAATTCATGTCTTACTTAGTGAGAGAAAATGAAAGAAACAAATGAGCATTAAGTTTCTAGGACTATTTTTATGATAATAGTTCTAAGGGAGATGACATCCAAATCAAAAAAATATGTAAGAATGACTTTGCTGGTTTTTTAAAATCCACTTTTATTTTGCAGTGACGGAGATTCAGAACATCCAGATAGCAGACGGGGATGTGTGCCGGGGTCTGGACATCCCGATTTACATGATATTCCCCAGGCTGTTTTCATGTCCCTCAGTCCAGGCAAACAATTTCAAAATAGGCTAGTAAAGAAGCTCTCCATTGATCTGTATTAGCAATCAAGTAAATTATTACACTTGTGAGCGTAGTTTCATAACGCCAAAATAGCGAGCGTGGTGTCATATTACAAAATCTACGGTTTTTCCGACCTAACTCGCAAATAAAACTGCTCTTTTTGTGGAATTTTTGTAGCATGTAGGGTTTGGGGCTTAAACGTCAGCGACTCACGTCAGGGCATTCCTTTTGAAAACTTGGATGTCTGTGCAATTCCCGTAGAGTTTATTTATTTTTCAAAATTCTTTATTTTGATTTTTTTCTCTTTTTTGACCCTGATAAGTAATTGGCGATTTTCTTGCTTGTTTGGCGAGATGCAGCTTCACTTCTGTGTAGCTTTTGTTTCCGTTTCAGAGTTCGAAGTCAATTTGGTGATAGTGTTTAATGACAGTAAACACACTTGCGTGACAGAAAACTTCCCAATTCTTATAGGCAGATATTAATCTGTCTCGCCTTATCACAGCAAAACCGAAAGTTCAAAATGGTGCTATCAGCTATCCTATATTCTTCAAATCAGATCATATCTATTTATTTTTATACAATTAGACATTTTAGCGATTATATTTTGCGTTCATAGAGAAGCTGTCATAAAATCATCATTGAAAAGCTTGTTTTTACCGAACTCAGTTTTTTCTCTTAATGAGAAAGGTTATTGGCACATGCTTTTGGCCATTTTTACTTATCTCGAACTCTTAAAGAGCCGTGCAAATTTATATACAAATAAAAAATGCTGGTTGTTATATACAAATAAAAATTAAAGCGGTGAAAAGAAATTATATACAAATAAAAAATGATGGTCCATAATAATGAAACATCAGATAAAAGATTTAATTTTGCTCTGCAAGTGACAGATCGGAGTTTTTTTGAAGCCAGCAAATATTAAACAAGTAGCGCTGATGTTATATGATCAATTTTTTTCTTTATATAGTTTCTTTATATCATTTATCTTCTCAGTTTATTGAATAGCTTCCAATGCTTCCTGGGATCTACTATATGAGTTTGATTTTGAGATCAATCAACGACGTTTCATCCTTCAATGCTGTACTTTTTGTCATGAAATATCGCCTTAATAAGTGTCATTGAATTTTATTGCTTGGGGTCTCCTTCATGATATCGTTTCTTGTTGAATTCAGATTCAGTTGCTCAGAGGAAGGTAAATTAGGCTCTCCAATTACAGAAGTGCTAAGAGAAAAATAGTGAATAAGTTTGCAAATAAGATTATTTTTAATTTTCCCCATTTTTCTCTCATGGGGTTAGCTTTGAGTAATTATAAAATACTTTCAGCCATAAAAGATTCTTGAAGTTTTACAAAGAAACCGTAAAGTTGAAATTCGAAAGCAAAATTGTGTCGAAGTCAACAGTGCCGTTTGCAGATAGGTTTGATTAATTTTCTATCTACTTAAACATGAGGTCACAGGATGGGCTAAAAGGTGACATTACGCCGTCGAAGGTACAAGAGATTGCCCAAACGGAGGAGAAACTGCTTTCTCAATCGAGCGACGACGCAATTTCAGATATTCGATCATCGACGCAAAAATGCAGAGGACTTTATCTTCATTACTTTCTGCAGTCATTGTTCAAGCAGTTCATAAACGGGACCAACTATGCGTTTTTCGTTCGCTATTTGAACAGTCCGGGACATATGTCAACTGCAGTCAGGTCCTTTTGGAACGTCCTCTGGACATTCAAATTCGTTTTTGCCATTATGAGTGACATCTTACCAATTTGCAGTCTTAAAAGAAAGCCATATATCATTTTGGGATGGTGCTTGTCTTTTTGTGGAATATTGTTAGCTTGCTTAGTACCTTTTCCTGATTCTCATTTTGCAGTTGAAGAAATCAACGGAACTTGCTCTGTATCCGGTGATTTACTAAATCCGCAGTCTACAGAGTATGTGCTAATTTACGTGTTGCTCTTGGGATTGGCGAAGTTTGGAGTTGCTATTATGGATTGTTCGGCTGATGGACGATTAGTCGAAATCACTCGATCAGAACCGACGGCAAAAAGAGGATCGGCTGTTGCGATTGGTCATTTGATGCAAAAAATTGGGGTGTTCGGCACCTCAATTGTGATCATTTTGTCGTTAAACTCGCCAGAATACGGAGGTAGTTTTTGTTTTGGCTTATCGTTTGACACTTTACTCGTTTGTTTTGCTTTTGTTCCAGTAGTTGCGTTGTTCATTACATTGCTTTGCGTCGAAGAGCCACCAGTTCGACCAGGAGACAAAATATCTGCGTTTAAATGGCTCGAAATGTTATGGAAAAAACTACAGGAATCTGCTTTTATACGAATAGCAGCCTTTGTTTTCTTCTACGTGTTTGCATATAATTTCAGATCACCAGCGCGTGTCAGCATTTCTAGGAACTGGGCGAATGTTTCACCCATGGCCAATGCCGTTTTCGGAATCATTTCCTTACTATTGCACAGTGTAGGGGTTGTGATCTACAAACAATGTCTGTTGAAAGTGAGCTGGCGGTATTTAGTGTTCTTTGGGTTCATCTTCTGCACTGCACCGAATATAATTGTAGAATACATGACAATTTTTGATATATGGCGAAACGAGTATTTCTATTTCACAGATGATGTCTTAGAGGCAATTCCTGAGGGAATCCTGTACATAATCATCATGCAGGTTTCCTCTGAAATATGCGGCAGGCATTTTGAAGGCTCGGTGTTTGCAATTATGATGAGTGTTTACACGATATCAATAGCATTTGCAAGGTCGTTATCGAATTTACTCGGTTCATTTTTTGATGTGTCTTACTCTGAGCGATTCTTACGAGATAACGAAAAAGACAGGTTTGCTGTTTTTGCATCGGTCCTGGCAGCTTATGCGGTCAAGTTTGTTCTTTTGCCCTTGATATTGTTATTGTTACCCAGACAACGTGAACATTTGTCATCGCTTGCTAAAAAGTCGAAGGCTTCATCTAGAAATGCGATTATATTCGTTGTTGTTTTCAGCTCAGCTATAGCGTATTCAATGGTAACATCGCTGTTAGCTGTTAATAGCAGAACTTCGTGTCTATCCATAGCTGGAGGAAAAGGTTGTTAGTCTTAAACAGGCTAAACTAAAAATGAGTTTGAAACTAATGCTAATAATATTTTGAACTGTAAGATTGCAAAACTAATCTTGTAAATATTTTTTGTAAAATAGTTGAGGATTTTGAGGATTACTTTCAGTTGAATTCAATACCTTTCACCCAGTTTTTTGAGACTTCACGAGCGGAAACTGTTGATAATCAGCCCTTATCTTGTTCTCCTTTCAAAGCAGTGCTAAACATTTGGCTGTCTAAACAAAAAGCTCTATAATGAGATGGCTTAAGTTCATCCGGTTAACGGTACGAGTTCGATTTGAAACGATTTATGAAAATGAGGCGTTGAATGGATTTTTACCTCACTTAAGCATCATTTTTATAGTGGAACCAGGATTTTTACAACGTTGTCTAAGAAGAAATTTTATGTTTGCCGCTGCTAATTGGTCCGCTGTAGCAGGTAAATTAACAACTCAGTTAATAAGTCATATCGGGGTTGGACGAATTACTCCGTGCATTTGGCGCAACGGTAACCCTCAAACACAAGTGAATGTTTTTGGCACCGGCTGCGAAACCACGACCTTCGTGTTAAAGGCCTTGCATCTTAACCACTCGGTCAAGACCGCCCACAAAAGCGGATCTAGGCAAAGTTCACCGCAGACGTTTTTTTCTAACGTGCGAAATTGCTTTTTTTTTGCACAGTTTGCAAAGTTTCCACCAAAAGACAGCGTTTTTTGGATGCTCGTTCATCAAAATTAGAATATATTGGTGCCAAGGGGTTTTTCAAAAAGTTTAAGGGATGTTCAGCCATAAACGGATGTCGTAAAATTGTATCAAAGGAGGCCCACGGCGAGGGCGTCCAAATTGAAAATTTTTGATTTTAGATGGCAAGGGGGGGGGGGGTTTAAAAGATGGCGGTATGGCTGCTACTACTGCTCAGAACAGTGGAAGTCCGAGACCCCTCATGGACTTGTAATTATAGCCAAGTGCTTAAATTCCAAAAAATTCACCAATGCTCAATTTCTGTCAGCTTAGTGCAGGAAACTGCTCTTAAGTTTTTTGAAATATTTTAAAGTTCTTTGATATTTGAGCAAGTAAATTCGAATCAGTTGCTAGACTTTTACTCAGTTAATTAACCGAAATCACTCCTAACAGCAGGGGCGGATCTAGGATTTTCTCGAGGGGGGGGGCGGATTTTTTTAAGGTCGATCAAATTGATTTTCCGAGCTCTCCTAAAAGACGCTGTTTTGGCCAAATTTTCTGCGCCGCAGGCAAACTTTTGAAAAAACCGTTCTTGAGCATTTTGACGCTCGCGCGCTCCCCCTCAAAGTTAGTATATATTGGCGCCAAAGGCGCCTTTAAAAAAATTTTAGGGTCGGTCGGCTAAAAATGGATTTCTTAAAAAGTACCAAAGGGGGACCGCCCCCCCCCCCCCCCTAAATCCGCCCGTCTACAGCCAACTGGTTAACATTAAATTTGCTGACTGACTTTTTCTTTTATTTTCTAATTGAATCACGGGCAACTATCGTTTTTTAAAAAATGGGAAATTGCTTTAAGAGATTGAATGTTTTTCGTATTCTTGACTTAAGGTTGATTTTGTGCATTTTTACTTTGCTCTTGTAAAGCACTCAATCTAACTTACAGTCAGTATGATGCTAATTTCATAGGACTTATGTTAGTTAAAGGATATTTTTTTTTTAATGCAAACAAACAAGGGTAGCCAGTTACTGAGCAAGTAGCAGAGAGTGTTCCGACCATAGTCTTAAAAAATAGAGTAAAAACGTCTTTTCAAATAATGTCGTTTTATCTGCGTGGTGTGATAAAAAGGATCTGAGCGAAAAACTAGAACTTACGCATAATGGACGGTCATTACGCTTGCGGCGATTAGCAAGCGTTATCAAATCGGAGTGTAGACTTTTTTCTTGTTAACAACTAGTTTAACAAAATGTTTGATTCACTTGACATGCTCAATGCTCTTCACCTGACATGCTCTTCAGCGGGAATGCTAAATTTCATGAAAATTCAAACTTAACTACTGGCTGGGTACAAGTTACTACAGGGTAGTTTCAGGGGGACTTGAAAAAGTTTTCGGCTCAACTGGTGTCTGCACGAAGGTTTTCAGCCTTGTTTTCGCTCGTAAGTTGTGTCCAGTTGATTCGTTTTTTTTTTTCAAAAATATGAGATAATACCTGCATTTTAATATGCTCAAAAACAGGGACGCTTTCTTGAATTGAAGTGTCGGGCTATAGTTTATATGCTCATTTTTAATACTTTCTAACCATTTAAGACAAAGAAAATTTTCAATCGAAAAAACTTGTGCAAAACCATGGATGGTAACTTAATAAGTTGCCTGAAAAATCTAAATAAAATTCATTTATTACGCTTGCGATTAGCAAGCGTTGTCAAATCAGAATGTAGACCTTTCGGGTTAGCAACTAGTTGAACAAAATCAGTTTAATCACTTACGATACTGACATGCTCAATTTCTTGAAGTTTCAATTTTAATTACTGGGTGGGTACTAGTTACTAGAACGTAGTTTCAGCGGGAATCAGCTTCTTCGACTCAACTGGTGTCTGCTCAAAATTGTCGGCCTTGTTTCGTAAAGTTTGTCCAGTTGCTTATTTGATATTCAAATGTTTTGCTTGGCTTGTTTGCATAGAATTCATGTTTGGTAAAATTAGGTATTATGAAACTGTACAGGATTGTGTTTTTTATTTTATTTGGAAAATTTTATCACTTTTTGCGAAAAATTCAGTTTTTTTTCCTCCAAATCTCATCCATTGTTTTTGAAAAAAGGTTATCCATAGGAAAATTGCCTACACACTTGTGTGTCCGCATTCTGCACTAGTCTCTTTTTATTTTATCCTTTGTCTACAGCGTTCGAAAAAGTGGAAATATTTGACCGATATTTTCAATTTTTTTTTCGGTTTCTCAAAAACTGACCTACCACTCTGAACTCTTGGCTTCAATTTTAAAAATCTAATTGAAAAGCTTCCGTCCATAAACGGTTTTGCCCAATTTTTTTAACACAACTTGGAATAGTCAAGTTTTTGATTTTTTCTTAACGTTTGTTGAATCTGTTTTAAATTTTTCTCAAAAACTAACCTCACAAACCTGAGGTTTTGGGTTGATTGGAGATAACTGTTATTGGGAAGCTCCCCTGCATTAGCAAAGCACAGACATTTTTTGGCATAAGCAGGGCACGCGCATTAGCAAGGCACACGATCTTCCTCAAGAAAATCTTTTTTTTTTAAATGTTTGGGCGTTTTTTTTCTATTTAATGAATTTAACCAAAAAATACCCTCTGATATTTGAGGTTTTATGTTCAATTCAAAAAACGGGTTTTGTGAAGCTCATTTGCATACTTTGGATTAGGTATGCCCTTTGCATACTTTGTGGTTTTACGTTCAATTCAAAAAACGGGTTTTGGGAAGCTCCTTTGCATACTTTGGATAAGGTTTGGATTATTTGACCGTTTTTTCAAACTTTTTGACTTTTATCGAGAACTACCCGGCCTTACTTATGTTTTTGGGTTCAATCGAAATAACAGATTGGGTGAATATCTTAAAAAAGCAAACTCATATGATTCTCGGAAATTTAAACTCTCTGATTTGTTAACCGTTTTTTAGACTTTTCTCGATAATTATCCTGCCAACTTTGATGTAGTTTAATCGACCCAACAGATTGTTGAAAGCTTACCTTTATAATTTGCTACGCTCAGTTTTTTTGTAATTTAAACAAATAGAAGTTTTGAAAATTGAAATTTTTTTTAAAAATTGTTTTAGTCGATTCGAAAATTACTGTGCCAATTCTCAGGATAGTCTTCAATCGAGAAACCCGATTTTGCGAATTTTCTCTACATTACCGGCCACGACCTGCGTTTAGCAGAAAAAAAACCAGTTTCGGAAAGTCCAGTGTTTGAATTTTGACTGTGTCTGAGAAACTTTTTGAATGTTCTTAAAAACTAACCTATCACATCTGAGATGAAAATTTCAGTCGAAAGAAGCGGTTGCGCATTTTGTCACGAATCAGTATAACAAATTGAAAAATCATCAAATACTTTTAATGTAGTCTTGGTCTTTTCGACTAATTTTCAGTATATTCACCAATAAATAAGTTTTTGAAAGCTTTTTGTCTCTGTTTTTGTTTCGACCACTGAAAATGTGGAGGCGTTTTGTCTTGTGGTCTATTTAAGTTTCTTTTACTTTTTCGCCCGCGTAAAATTTGGCCCAACAATTAATAATCAGAATGGGTTTATTGTTTTACGATTAGAAAAATTTCTTACTGTCAGATTGAGTGAGTGTATTATCAAAGGAGAAGCAGCAAATAATTAAGCCGAGAAAATTTAGTTTACTGCTGGAAAAATAGCTCCGATGGTTCATTTAGCGCTTCATCGCAACAAAGTTTTTTGAAAATTATTAATTCATTTTTTATCACTTTCTTAGAAAGTTTCTTTCTCAATCACTGCTGTTGCTCACACATGCTCAATTTGTTGAAAGTACAAATCATTTTACTTCTTCATTTGAGGTATTAATTAATTTTTTCAATATACTTATGGAAAAAGTCGTTTTTTTCCGATTTTTGGTTTTCGTCCTAATTTTTATCGGTTGATCTTCCGTTTTTTTTCGAATAGAATTTTTATTACCTGGTGCGCTTTTTAGGCAGTTTCTTTCCGAAGATCAGGTTTTTGTTTTCGATTCAAACAGTTTAGACTAAAATTGAAAACTGTTCTGTAGTTTCTAAATTTACCATCTCTTATTTTGATTTATTTTTTGGTTAAAGGGGGGGGTCCGATTTTTGTTACATTGGCTTAGTCAACTTGAATTGCGTATATTCACTAGCAACTTTTTTGAAATATTTTGCCTGTTTCAGTTGGGATGGGTGGATGGGTCGTAAAAAAATTTGATTTTGTAAACGTTATAGATAGGAAATTTTTTATGACTACAGTTTCATTTTTGGCTTAGCAAAAGTCGACTCAAATTTTTTGCACCATTTTTGCTCGGTCATTGATTCTCAATGCTTGCTTAGGTTGTTAATGAGTCTCATCGGAGACAAAGGTCTGAAATTTTGACTTTTTTCTGTTCAGCATCTTGTAATGCGAAGCTTATCTTTGAGATCAGCAAGGGTATTGCAATCGGGTACTAGACTTTTTCCCCCCATAAAAAACATTGTTCGCAGAATGGTCGAAATTTATAACGGTAAATTTAGGTTCAGTTCATAATTTTCTGGTGTCTCCAGCATATTTAGTCTAGAGGTAGCTAGCTAATAAGCTTACAGTTTTTTGAAACGGGTTCAAATCTGTCAGTGAGAGTTTTTTTTGAACTGGAAATAAAATTCGTTTCGAAAAAAATTGTCGACTTTTTGTTTGCCTGCTTATTTTTTGTCGGCTTAGCTGCCACATCCTAGAACAGTATTTTCTATGTGCGCCTTTAATATTGTAGTTGCACATAGCGTTTTTTTTTTTCGCTTTTTGTTTTTAATACCGTTTTTAATTGACTACTTTTCGTTTTTGCTTTTTTTGCTCAAAAATTTTATTCTGCCCAAAAGATTTCGGCTTATATTTTGATTGCCTAGTGACCTGATTTTGAGTCATTTCAAGGGACAGATATTTTTTATGCTCCCCTCTGGGTACCACAAACTTTTCAGCCATAGATTGATTTTTTGTCGGCTGAATTATTTCGTCTTAATTTTTGTCGGCTTACTGGCCAGATATTGTTTTTCTGTAATTTGAGAGATGAAGAGTTGAAGTAGAAGTAAATATAGTTCTTGGTTGACTGTCTTGTATTTTTGTCAATTCTAAAAATAAAAACAAAAAAAAAGTTTGAAGTGAAAAAATTATATTTTGCATTCAACTTTCAATGCAAAATATAATTTTGTTTTTTGGATGCTAGGTTTCTGGTTTGTTTTTTTTCTAAATATGAAGTGCGTGGATATAGTTTTAGTTTTAATTCTTTGGTGAGTTGTAGCGTTAAGCAAATTGATTTAAAATCGAGTCAAGTTGTTGGCATAGCGAATTGTTTTCATATGTCTTTTTTTTCGAAAAATTGCACTAATTTGGATCAGTTTCTTAAGTTTCTCTACGGGAATTTTTGTATGTTTTTTTGTTATCGTTTTTGATTTTGTAATCCAGCTCTCGTAACTTTGCGTACCAAGTTTATGTTTGATAAATTTGATGCAATTGGTTTGTCTTATAACTTTTTTGGAATTTGAGGTTTTCTGCACAAAATGTTTGACGCTTGAAAATTCATTTTTTTAAGTTTTGCTTTTATTTTTACGTTTATTTATAGCAAAAGTTCTTACGAAAAGTTTTAGAATTTTTTTAAAGATATGCATGTTGTTCGGTTGCAAGATTTTAAGGAAAGTGTTTGAGTACACTTAGGATCTCTTAGATCTCGATTGTTTACCAATACTTTTTGTCATGAGAAAGAAATGAATTGAGTTTGTGCAGCCCGAATTCTTTGTATTTTATAGTTGAATTGTTTTTTAAATACTTTGATTTCTTAATTTTTCAGCCTACTGTTTTATCAACAGAACTTAAGTTTTTCACTTTTCTTTTGAGACACATCTGTTAGCTTTTAGCTGTTTATTTTGCATCGCAACTAGTGCGAAGCTCAGCTTTGCCTCTCTGTTTAATTGTATTGCGAGTTTTGCGAAGGAAGCTCCGCTTGGCCTTTAAGAAACAATAACAGTTGTAATCTGAAAAAATTTAGTCAAATATATTTATCGAAGTTCGCAAGTTGAAAATGTTCACAAGTTTTCAATCGTTTTTTTTTAGTTTCCTTAGTTCTTGTAGATTTTTCGATTTTTTTTAATGTTGCCAATGTGCACTCTCCCTAGCGTTTCTTAGCGTCTCCGGTACACTTAACTTGGAAGTTTCGAATACGCCTGGGACGGCAAATGTCCTCGTTCGAATATGACCTAGACCTGTTTTTTTTTTCAATTGAAAAAATTTCTGTTTCAAATAAAGTGTTCTGACTATTTTTGTCAGCTTATGTTTTTTGGAGTAGTTATCACATCGTATTATCATTGTGAAAACAAGGGTTTTGCAACCGGCTAGTGTTAATCATTTTTTGCTGTACGCAATTTCTATTGTAGTTGCTTTAGTTTTTTGACTTACTCCTGCGATTCGTAATTTTACTGTTTAGCCTTGCAATCAGCAAGAATATAGCAACCGGGTATTAGATACTTTTCCCGTAAACAAATTAGTTCGCTAGGTTCATCTGGTTTCATCTCCTGGTTGTACCACCTTGGCTCATAATGAACTCGAATTTCTTAGCGTCTCCGTCACTCTTAGTTTTGAGCTAACGCTAGGTCCCGGGTTCGAACCTGACCAGGATCTGTTTTTTTTTCGTACCGGGAAATAATTCAATTGTTTCAAATAAAACTTTCGGCCGATTATTTGTCTGCTTATGTTTTTTCGGCTTAGCTGTCACATCTTAGCATCGTTTTTATGCTGTTCGCAATTTTCATTGTAGTTGCTGTGTTTTGGTTGTTTCCTGCAATTTGGAATGTCACTTACTTTGACTTCGTATTCCTTTTTTTTTAATTTCGCTTAAAGATTTTTTTCGGGCCAAATTAATTCGGCAGCCATTTTATCGTCTTAGTGACCTAGTTTTGAGTTGTTGCATGGGAAACAAATTTTTTATGCTCTTCGCCGGATTGCAAAAAAAAGCTAAACGTCTTAAAATAGAAAAACAAATTTTGGAAAAAAACTTGCCTCAACTATTTGCATTTCAGATTGATATTCAGCGGGCTTCTCAAAATTGGCGAACGCTCAATTTCAATGATGAACAATTTTGCTTGAAAGCCGATAGACGAATTATATAAATCTTTTGAAGGACTTCTTTAATCGCGGATTTCATTATCTAAATTTGAAAAGATTAAATTTTTTCTGCTAACTAAAAGTGAACAGTGATTTTGTGTCCGGGAAATTTTGTGCTACTTGCATGGCAACAGTTACTGTTTTTGTCTCGAAGAATACGAAGGAACTATGACGTAGGGTTCGTTTTTTGAATTTTTTCAGCCAATTTTAACTACCTCAAAGAGAGCTTGTTGGGGACCAAGTGTGGTATGGTATAAAAGCCTATTGACCCGTACTCCGATTCTTAAAAATTAAATAGTTGGTCTGTGACGAAAAAACTAGTCTGAACAGTTTTGATTTTGAGACTATTTTCTGGACAACTTAGACTAAATTTGATGAAAAGCTGACCTCCCAACCCTACTTTTACTTAAATTTCAATATAAACAAAGACTACGGCTTTTTCTAGCTTATTTAATCAAATTCAATCGCGCTTTCTAAAAAAAATAACATCAATTATAGATAAAAATAGCAAAAAAATGCAGAATTGCACTTCAAACAGCTATCCTTGATCTTCCGATGAGGCAAGGAACTTTGTATTCGGGTCATTTTCTTCAGCCAAACTTGACTCCCTTAATAAATCTCTCAGGGGGTCAATTGACATGATATTAGAGCCTTTTTAATTGTGATTCGTATTTCAGATAGAAAACTCAAAAAATTATCTCAGTGCCGAGAAGCAGTGATCTTACTTTCTTTTCGTTTTTTTTTAGAATAAATTAGGCGATATTTGCTGAGAGTCTGACCCCACAAGTTAATTTTTCAAGAAAATTATATTTTTTTAGCTATTGTTATTTCTTATTCTTGTAGTTTTCACCTAGTGCAGTTGTTCTTTACTAGTTAGTTGCCTCTGTAGATACCGTGTTGACTAAGTGGCGTGCGCAGAAATTTTTTTAGAGGGTGGGGGGGTGCGGCTTTCGAGAAAAAAATGAAAATGATGTCGACTTTTTTTTGATTTTCCGCGCTTTCTGAAAACACTCTAAGAATCCTATTTTGTCAGAATTATTCTGAGACGCAGGCAAATTTTTCAAAAAAACAGACCACAAAAGGCGTTTTTAGTCATTTTTTGAACATTTTGACCAAACCTTAAGGCGTCTTTAAAAAAGTTTTGATGTTGGTCGACCAAAAATGGATCTGGTAAGTTATGCCAAGGGGGGCTTTGGAAAAATTTGGCAACCAGAATTGGGGGAGGGGGTGCGGTCACCCCGTCCCCCCTCGACACGCTACTGGCTATAATTATTGTTCACTCTTGTGATCAGCGAGGGTGGTGCAATCGGGTACAGGGCTGTTTTCCCCGGAAATAACGTTATTTACGGAATGGTCCAAATTAGATATGATAAACTTATTCATATACCAACTTTATAGAGCTGTTCCTGGCCCCTTCTGTTGATAAGGCTACACAGCCAATTTTTGAGCATGTCAGTATTTTAAATATCCGTTTGATTTGAAATTTGTTTACTGAAGGAGAGTGGGACTTGAAAATTTATTGATCTTCAAGTCTGTTTTTGGCTCAACAGGGTTTCTGGCTCACGTAATTTCGATTTTGTTACCGCTTGGTAAGTTACTCTTTTTGTTATTCTTTTTGTCTCCAATACTTATCTCACCCTCTATTGTGTTGGCTTCTTTTTTTTTCAAAATTAGCTCCATTCATTTAGATATATCTAGTGATTTCGACATGTTCGAAATTGTTCTGATTTTTTTTACTTAGCGGCTTCCCTGTATTGTACCGTAAGTGGTGCAAAAGCTCCGCATGGCCTCTGTGTGAACGTTGGCATAACTGATTGTATCTTTTTTGGTTTTACGCTGTACTTAAGTTTTTGTGTTCATTGAAGAGTTCTGTAAGTAAGTCGTTAATGCTCCGTGGTCACTTTTGCTATAAAACCCCATAAATATTCAAGCAAATACCTAAATTATCTTTTGTTCGGATAAAATTTTTTCAACTGGCAGTAGAAGAAGACGAATGTCTTTTCCTAATATAAGACATCATGAGACATCATTTGTGAGACATCATTTGTGAAAATGAAAAATTGGTTGCCAGCTGAGGCACTCATTCTTTAAAACTTTAATAAACGATAAATTTCATTTCTAAATGCTATGTTGCAAAAATTGCACTTTCAAGAAGTTTGAGATAGATCTGAGCTGTCAGGTGTGATTACTGTTGTTACGTTCAATCCAAGCAGTGATCTGGTTGTTGTTGCCAGGTAAAATGGAGGAGTCGTCTGATATCTGAAATCATAAATGTCAAAGTCATAACCAAAAAAGCCGAGGTATTTTTTAGAGTTGTTCAAGTGTTAAGTTTTATAGTGGCTCCTTCGGTGTTATTAGTAAACATCGAGTAGAACGGCTGACCTATGCAGTTACTGAACATTTTTGTAACTTTACTGACCTCTTCCTTGACCTGCCCGAACTCGGTGTCTGTGGCCTTGAACAAGTACTTGCACTCCGCCAAGTCAACTGTGTACTTTTTGAAGTCAGCCAAGGTCACATTGGCCACGCTGAAAGTATGAACAATGGAAAAGAATTTATCATAAGTAAAGTATGACTTAATGGCATCACTTGTAAACAATCAGTTTCTCACGTAGAGAAACCACACTAAATGGGTTCCAAAATTTCCTACCTGAACCAACTACAGACGCGGTGGCGGTCTAAAATTAATACTACAAACAGGTATGTTAAGAATGGATAGTGGGGGAGAGGAGGGGGGGGGGGGGGGTGAATGTGTGACGTGAGGGTGTTGAACGCGATTTTTCAGATATAGATTTGAACAATTATTTTTGAGTCTCTGAAGTAGTAAAAAGAAGGATGAACTACTGGAGGGTACCTCTTTGGAATGACTGTGATGCATGGGGTAGTCTGATTGTCGGTGTAATAGAACACTTGCGTCTGCTGTTGGTTCTTACTCCTGTGAATTCCGCCCGTGTCCTTGAACGTATACTCCGACGCAGACTTTCTCACCATGGCACCGATTTGCCCCCCACCTTTAGACGTCGAACAGGAAGCGGGGGTGGGGTTGTTCTGGCTCTCTGATCCCTGAGGTCTGGTACGGAATTTGCTCCTTGCAACAACTTCAATGGGACTGTTGTCCTCTCCCGATTCACCGTCAGTTGTTGTCTTAATTAAAACGAGATTTACAATATTGTAAGACATTTCAAATTTTCATCCATTTCTGCTGACATTTTTATTTTAAAGTAGGAGAGAAGTGTTTGCGTTTTGAAAATGAAATAGACGAAATAAAGCACTTCTAATGAATGAAAAGTATCGTTTGAAAAATATTTAAGTGGTGGTCTTGAAAGTTCCCAGTTAAAATCATTTTTTCAAGACTGTTTTTCTGGTTCTACCGTTGTTTTAGATGTTCCAGTGATGTTTTTGAGACTGTTGAGTTTATCCACCAGACTCTCCAAACTTTGTTCTATTGCCTCCAGTGATTGGAACTCTGGATCATCCTGTCCAAAGTTCTTTTTCATGTCCAGAACTGCACTGGATATCATCCGGTACTCTTCAGATCCAGCCACGTTAAATAATTTCGAGGATGGTTCTAGATTTTCTGGGTCCAAGTTGTCCAGACATTTCTGAAGTTCCTTGCCTCTGTCGGAAGGTGCCTTTGACCGACTGGAAGGAGACCTGGCGCTCTTGTGACGTCTTCGTGGACGCTCATTTGCACCCTAATTCGCAAATGTCTTAATAGTTCTGATGGCTCATAATTCTTCATTTTCTCAATTTATTTTCTCGACTCAACATCTTTCAACATTATAAGCAGATTATTTTATGTGATTGATCTCTTTAAGTGATCGAAAAAAGTCAGTTAAATATCTGGGAGACAAAAAAAATCCGGTTTTGATTTAATTGTCGTTTTTGGTTAGAATGTGGCTACAAACGCAATGTTTCATGGTGGTATCTAAAAAATATCCGACAATGTTTGACTCGAGTGTTGTTCGCACCGTTGATTTGGTTTTGAGGGCTTTGTTCAGCCGATGTTGCAGTTCGTCCACCTCTCTCTGGTAGTGTGCAACCGACAGGGACCTTCTCTCATTCTCTCGCTCCAAGTTAGCCTTCAAAGACACAATTAGTTGATAGCTTATAATCAATGTATTATAATCGATTATATTTGATTTCAAAAAGAGATTATAATCGATTATTAATTGATTAAAATCATTTTTTTTTCTCAGTTTTTGTACGACTGGTACTAAAATCATATTATAATCAATTATTTACGCTTGAAACTGGATGCGGGTACGTTCAATAATTACAATGCTGCTGATTTTGAAGAGAAATTGCTTAATACTGACCTATGGAATGTTTTCGGTCTTTTAGTTTAGTCTTTTTGTTATTTTTTTTGGTATGCCTATGTTCTCCTAATCAAAGTCCTCTCTTCAGTTAGATTGTATTACCTTGTGTTCTTCAGCATCCCTGAGTCTGTTCTGGTACTCTGCCAGTGCCTTCCGCTTCTGCTCCAGAGACTTGTCTTTGTGTGCCAGCTTTCTCTGAAACAATTTTGAAATTGAGCATTTAGTTTGCGAATATTTTCATGTATCCTAAGCATAGTTCACCAGAAGCAATTATCTAGAAACTGCGTATTGAAAACACTTCAAGTATCATATTACGGAATGCTTGCTCGTCAATGTGCATTTCCCATTCAATTTTCCTTTTTCATACATTTCCTATTCTGTGTTGTCCAGTTTCCGTCCTTAGAAGTTACGGAATCTTCATGAAAACTTTTCTTTGAGGCCTTCAACTGTTAAACTATGGCCGTCTGGTTGATGAAGCTGAATGAACAAAGAGGGAAAGACAATTTTTGTTCGAACTTTTGAGTTTTCTTTGTTAATTGTAATAGAACTAAATTTGTACAGTTCAAAAAATTTTGTCAATGTAGACAGATAGCGGCACTCACATTGAGTTCGCGGACTTGTATGTCCTGTTGGTCTAGTCGCTTCTGCATCTCAATCATCTGGGACTGGGTCTCCTGCTGCAGTCTCTGCAATGTCACATAGTCCCCCTGCACACTCCTACACACACTCTCCGCCTCCACCACCCGAGACTCCAGCTGCTTCTACAACAGATTCAAACGTGTGCATTTATTCACAGTTATAATAGTAAAGATAGATCAAAGAGACATGTAGCAGGAGTCCCGATTTCAGACGAGGTTTTCTCAAAAAGTTGCCTTTGCGACAAATCAATTTTAGTTAAAATAGGGTCTTAATGGTTTTTCGGCTGAACTGGGTAAACTTTTTTTCAAAAAGTTTATTGAACGCCAATTTAGAAGGAAGAGTAAACAACGTACTGTACTTGATTGGAGTGAATACTTAATTTTCAGGACTAGCATGAGTAGGTTCGAAACTCATGTTTTTTTGGGACTTGTTTGAACGATACTCCTCACTTCTGGAGCAAAATGATTCATTCTCTACTTGAAACTAGAAACAGTGGCATTAAATGTGCATAAAGTAATCAAGTTTTCTTAAAATCGGGAACTAGACTTTTTCTCGTAAACAACTTCTCTTACAAAAATGTAACTTATAAAATGATCTGGCGTTAATATTGGACCTTAACGAACGCAAGGTTCCTTCCCCTCTGGTCTAAAGGTAACGCGATTGCCTTTGAACCCTAGGGCCGGGCCTCAAGTCCCGGCTGGACTTTTTCAGTATGTATGAAATTGAATTTTTTGTGCTTCATGAAATTTTCATTCTAGTTGCAAGTGTTGTAGTTTTACTCCTGAAAATCGTAAGTTTAGTAACTATTTTTTTTTGTTTCGCTTAAAAGCTTTTTTCGGTCTGAATATTTTTCGCTCATGTTTTATAAGTTTAGTCAATTTAATTGGTGTCGTTTAATGAACAAATTGAAGTTATAAAGTTTTTAAATTAAATGCTCAGGTCGGTTGTGCTGTAAAAGTTCATAGTTTTAAAACTTAATCACTCAAAATTTTTTGATGAAAACAATTTATTCTTGTATTTTTTTTTGTTTTCGGCTCAGTGGGCGTGCACCCACGTCTTGTCGGCTTAGTGGCCGCTCGGTAAATACTAAAGATAACCTAATGCTGGTGGGTGAGTTGCTCGACTGTTTTTCTTACTTTGTGTTTTTTTTTTCGTCTTAGCTATGTCTGGCTCGTTTTATGTTTGCTAACTTGCAATGCTACGACTTGCGGTGTATCGCATGTGATGCGACGCTCCGCTTCATCTCTGTTAAAAAGAGTAAATTGTGACTCTGTTATTTTCCTGCTAACAAGTTTTTCAAATCTCAAAGACTATTTCACATCAGTTAAGCAGCTCAACAGTTTTGGATAAATATCTAAATCCAACTAAGAATGCACGAAAGATTTTTTATACTAACCTTGGCACTCTGCATGTTGTACCACTCTTGTTTGCTGCTGTACAATTCAGTCCTCAACTGATTCAGAAGCACCTCATTATTGGCTGCCATCTGTTTCTGCGAACTGCTCCCTCCCCCACCTTTGCCTAGAATATTGCCCGCGTTCTTCTCGTGGGACTGGGATCTCTTCCTGGCTTTGAATGTGGACCTCCCGTTGCTCTGACTCCCTTTGCCTTGGTTGGTTGAAGATGTCTGGTGTCCCGATGAGTTTCCACAGCTGCTAGCCTCTGTTTCGTCTCCTGTTTCGCTCTCTCCGTCCGGAGGTTGGCTCAGAATAAGCTGAAGACGAATTTTTTTTTGATTAGTCGAAAACAAGTTTTTTTCTCATATTTTTCCATCACCCCCCCCCCCGGAAAAGGCCTTAACCTCAGCATCTCAAAAGCGTTGATTCCGACTTTTGACCGTTCACTCGATCACACATAAAATGTCCTAAAATGTATTTTTGGTTCTGATCATTAGCTGTCTTACCATCTCTTGTAACTGCGTGAGGATCTTGCGCGTGTTCACGTCCTCTCCTCCCATTCCAGCGCTGCCAGAAGTATCTACACTTCGTGACGTCATCACTACCCCTTGCTGACTCATCATTGAATCTTGAACAATTTTTTAATTGAATTTAGTTTTCAAACCAAAGCTTTTGATTATTTATTGCTTTTTCTTCATTTGGAAAAGCTAATGAAAAAATGTTTTTTTTACCGTGAGCTTGTAGGTACTCCAGAGTTACTCTGAGAGTGTTGAGGTCTGATTTGGTCAAATGAAGACGCTGCTCTGACTGCGAGGGAGGACCCAGAGATCTGAAAACATACAAACTATATGACATACTTTTCTGAATTTCTCAAAGATAAGAAACATTTTGTTTTTAGTATCATTTTAAAGTTTTGTGATGGAAATTAAAAATACGTACGGAGCTGATTCGACCAAGGACTGCTCGTCGTTGTTTCTCAATTGGCTCATGTTCAAGTTTACCATCGCATGTCCATTGGGGTTTGGTAGTGGTGTGGGTGCATTAGAAGCACTCCTATGTGGGGGTAACTGTCTGTTCATTTGGTGAGAATGAAGACTATTAGGATGCTGTGACATGGACAAAGGATGATGGTTTTGGTTCTGGTGATTTTGAACGAAGAATGATGTGGTGCTCATACGACTGGGTGTGGGTGGGGGTTGTCTGTTTGAGGGGGAGGGATCTCCGCTTTCGACTATGGACTGCAGGTGTGGCGAAAATTGCGAGGTACTTGAGGTAGTTGATAACTAAAATTGAAACGGCAGAGTAAAGTGTAGATTCAATCAAGCTTCTAAAGTTGAAAGAGTAAAGTTTTTTGAAAAATCATTGAAACAAATCAGAAAACCGACTCGAATATTTTTTTTGCGAATAAGGTTTTCTTTTTCAGACCTTTTTTTACAACTGTTGTTATCATATTTCAAATGTGTTTCGTTGCCAATAATTCTACTTATAAGTCCAACAGAAGTCTGCAAAAGTAAGTGAAGCCTAATTTTTTCGCATGAAGCCATTCTGGTAAGTAGAGAGAAACTAACTTGATAATCTGGTGCTGAAAACTTCTGATGATTAATATCTGTAACCTGGGCAAAAATCTGGTTTGAGGTTGGGTCAATCATGAAATTAGCAGGGGTGCTAGTTCCACTCTGGGCATTCGAGGTTACCACGTGACTTTGGTTCTGATGGGACTGTCTTTGAATTTGGTCCGGCCTGTAGTGTGCGGCTATGAGCAGGACTAGTCTCATGATAGTCTCTTTGTCCCCACCCACCACATCTGAAAAGAAAAGCGGGAATCATCTAAATTTCAGATTCGCTAAGGTCATACCTACCAGGTTTGGGGCCTGGCTTTACCCAACTGTTTTGAAATTTTTTTCAAAATTGTTTGAAAATCCCCCGCCTCTCGAAAATTTCCTGAAAATTAGCCACCTTGTATATTGGACGTTATGTACAGCTAAGATATAATTTTTCGACTAAATCTTATTAATTGTCCTAATGTTTAAACCATGACTACGCGTATCAAAGTTTTCGCCATGAGTTGCAAATTTTCAGCAAAATTTTAACGATTGTAGACTGTTTTTTGGTTGACCAACTTGGTTATTCGAGTTCCCAGTAAATCTGCTTCTTATTTGAAGAGCGATAGTAAAGTTTGAAAAATGAAACAGAAAGCTTTTGCTCAAGCTCGCAATATTTTCAGTTTTTGTTGTACCCTGTGGGTTGATGGACATGCAGTCCACCCCCTCCCTCTGAAGGAATGCAAGAATGGAGGATATGTTGTTGTGCATGGCGGCCTCATCACTCTCACTCACTTCACTCAGTCTGTACACTGACTTGTCTATCTCCATCTCCTCCCCACCTTAAAATCCATTGGAAAATGACACGGTATTAAAAAAAAACAATTTCAAATCTCTCAGAAAAAAAAGTAAGTTGCTCAGAATTGTTGAAGGTTATCCATTTTTAATACCGTGTAAGTGGAGCTAACTGTTTTTTAAAACTAAAAGTTAACGCTTCAATTATGAAAAATAACTCAAATACAAAACCATTTGAAAGCAGTTGGTGAATTTTTTATTATTCTGAGAAAAAAACTAGCAAAACTAGAATAACAATAAAATTATTATTTTAGAGAGGAATTAAATTGCCTTTCTGAAGTATGATTGACACTGCAATATTGTTTTAATTTAAGAAGTTTAAGCGAGTATTTATTTTCTGATGTTTTGCGACAAGCATTAGGTTGGAATTGGTGCCACTGCTACTGAATGATTTTATTAATACTGTACGCGAAAGTTGACATTCCAACTTAAGATATAAATAACGTTACCAATAGAGATTCAATTCCAATTAACTGACCAAGAACTTCAATCAGGATCCCAAACACAGTTCCATCTCGCATGTCTCTAGACAAGTTCTCCACAATCCAGTTTTTGAGTCCTCCTGCAGACCCGGAGGCAGCGGCGGCCGACTGGATCGATGATTTGAGTGCAGACTTCTTTGATTTGCTCGTCGATTTCTTGGGGGGTTCAGCACCTCCTATGAGTACTGTGGCATGCATGGGTGGCGCCATGACCGTATATGGAATGTACTTCCTAGTTTGAGCATTGATCCAGTTGATAATCGTGCCCACATGGTTCTAAGCAGTATTCAGGTTTTAATGTTTTTTTAAAATAAGAGTTCAAATTGCCGTTTTAGTTGATTTTCGGAGAATCGATCTCGCGCTCTATTATGTGTTTGAATTTAATGTGTACAAACAAGTCAATGATATGTTTTTGATCAGTTTTTTCTTGAATAATGGCTGTGTTTGCATTTTTTTTTTCAAATTTGATTAGCTCGTGAAATTTACTGACGGCTAGGGGGGCGATCTAGGATTTTAACGAGGGGGAGCGGGTGGATTTTCAAAAAAATTTCCGAAAAATTTGTTGACATTTTTCTAGGTTGGTTATTCCAAAGCACCAAAAAGACCCTGTTTTGGCCAAATTTTGTGCAGCGCAGGCAAAAATTGGAAAATTTTGACCAAAAATTGCGTTTTTTCGGCGATAGCTTCCCTCCCAAAATTGTTAATATTGGCGTCAAAGGCGCTTTTAGAAATTTTCGGTCCGTTGGTGCTGAAATCCAAAATATAATAATCTTGAGGGGGAGCGCGCGGCGAAGAAACGCGATTTTTTGGTCAAAATTTAACAAAAAGCTTTTTTGGCCCGTTTTTTTCAAAAATTTGCCTGGGTCGCAAAAAATTTGGTCAAAAAGGGGTCTTTACACTGCTTTAGGAGAGCTCGAAAAATCAAATTGGTCGACCTAAAAAAAGTTCGACAAAATTTTCAATTTTTTTTTTGAAAATCCGCCCTCCCTCCTCGAGAAAATCCTAGATCCGCCTCTGCTGACGGCACTAGCTTTTTTGCGATTGAATTATGAAAATTTTCCTATTTTTGAATTCTTATGATTCAATTTTAGTTATTTTCTCACCTTGTAATTGTTGTCTTCGAGATCAGTCAGTGATGGTAAAACTCCGTTGACTTCACTCATTGGAGTCTATTAGAAAAACCGAAGCTCAAAAGTGAAAAAAAAAATGATTCACGGGTCAAATCTGGAACGTTTTTTTTTTAGTTGTTTTCAGAGGAAGCGGTGTGCTGGAATGTTCAATAGTGCTTTATTGAATGCTGGTTGATAATGGAATGAGTATAATAACAGAATCTGCGTTTAATCTGATGACAGACTGCACTGGTAATATAATGTGCCTATGATTATTTTATTCAAGATTGGCCATCAGTCTGATATGAAAACGTAAAAGTGTAATTTGCACAGTTGTTTTTTGTAGCCAGCGATGAAAAATGCTCCAAAATCTGGCTCTTTGTTTGCTAGTCTGCAAATGCTCGAGGTGTGCCACAGTACCGCTTAGTTGACCGAATGATCATGAAACATAATATTGATCACAGCTCAGTTTTCGTTTTAACAAGTAGAGCCTCGAACAAAATCCAAAAACAGCTTGTTCAGAATTTTTATTTTGCACTGAGTTTTTATAAATATTCGAAGTAAATCGCATAAATAAAAAATAGGCAAGAATTATTTTTTGGCCTCCCGGTGACGCGAATAAAGCGTTGTTTTTTTGATCAGCCGGCGTAAAATTGGTGACTAGTTTTGTCATTTAGTGCTGGACCATCCCCAGATAAGAACAATAGAAAGCCAAAGACTGTTTATATGCACCGTTGGCTAACTTTGCACAAAAGACACATATCTCTTGGAGCAGAAAAAAAATAGATTTGACACATGTTTGTTAGTCTACCATAGAGGCAAACAAATAAACAATTGTAATGAAAACTGTATCAAAAAATCTGAACAAATTGATTTATAATTATTTAATCTGGCTTGAAGAATGTTGAGAATCCTTTTTAGACCGTTAATGTTAAATAACTATTGTAAATAAATCGATTAATAGAGTGCAGTATGTTATAATTGAATTATTTGATCTTTGTTTAGCGTTCATATGTAATCGTATAACATAAAAGAACTGTTTCAACAGTTTTAAATCCTCTTAAAGCTCCTTAGTTTTTCGCTCAAAAGAGGCTGAAAAAAAATTTGATTACCGATTTTGAATTAGGTCAGTAATGGATTAGTTGAAAAACGGGCGGATCATATTACCAAAATGTCAAGTTTAGTTAATTTAGTAAAGGTATCATATGTTACTTTAGTAGCAATAGGAGAGGAACCTACATGAAAGTATGTATAAGTAAGTATATTTCCTATAAAGTGACTCGGATTGAATTGATTTATGATCAGATTTGGAGAGTGAACAAATAGCTGAAACACTGAAATAGAACGGATTTTGTTAATTGTGCTCAAGCCGAGAGGCTGGGTCAAATTGTGAGCGACTTAAGATCTCTTGTCAAGCTGGTCAAGAGTCCGAGCGGAATCAAGTGTTTGCCTCTGTTCGACAGTTAAGTAGGTGATTTTCATTACTGATAATATATGTTACCCTGTAGGTTACATATGTTAGACATCTAGTTTGACTTCCTCATAATTGCCATGCCTTTATTGAGAGATTGGTATCGGCCATACCGACAAATGTTGAATATGTATATCATTAAACTCACTTCAACCCCTTTTCTTACGCATCGCGGTTTATCCAAAGATCTGAAAATTTTTGTTATGACTTTTTCATGAATGCATTTGTTTTTGTGGTTATAATTGAATAAAATACTAGACAATTTAATTTTATAAAATTCGTTTTCTAGTCTTTTGTTCAATTATAACCATAAAAACAAAAGCATTCATAAAAAAGTCATAACAAAAACTTCATATTCTTCGTGTGTTGGTCTCCTGATCCTTTTTCACGAGACATTCGCAGGTGAAAAACACAATTTTTTCATTGACAACCTGTGAAGTTCTTATGATTGTACATGCCCGAACCCAACAAAGGCTTTCAAACTCGATAGAAATTTTATCTGGATAATTGATTTTAATGTTTTATGTTTTCTCTATAAAAACTATTTTTTTATTGTCCAACATTTGAAATCACAGTTGGAATTTTTTTGAAGCTCACCGAATGTTCATTTGTGTAAGGTTGCTTTGACTATTGATATAAGGATATATTGCGATTCTGTCTTTGCCATTTGTGCGCTTGTTTGGAAACCTGAAAGCGGAGGTTCGATTCTTGCAGGCACTCCAAGTTTGGCTAGAAATAGCATAGGTTGACAAAATTGATGACCAGAAAAAGTGTAGGTAAAACAGTGGTATCAGGGTCCGGGTTAAAAACAAATGTGACAAAAGGGGTTCCAAATCACGCTAATTATAAACAGATATAGCAATTAAGTACAGCAATGGGCGCAGCTCATTCGGTTTCAAGACTTTTCTAATCGTAAAAAAACCTGCGTCATTTGCGCTTATTTATGTTGTTTTAATTGTCATCAGCGAGGCAATAAATTGAACACTTTTGAAGGACTTTATTTACCGTAGGAGCCCTGTTAGTTCCTTGAAGCACCTCTATCACACTTGTACCAAAAAGTATTATATAAAAATCCATGCTTCTTTATGCCATTTTATAGGGACGTCCTCGCCAAAGATTTCAGATTCAAAATTAATTATTTTTCGTAAGAAATATAAAAATTGCTGAACACAGGTGTAGCAACCTGATCATGGCACTCCAACGGTTACAGTTTTGGAATTTTGTTTCATTTTTTATCTAAATGCATATCAAAACATGCACCTTTTGAGCTTCAAACAACCTAGAAGACTTTATATAATCTATATAAGAATCTATATAATGACCAATTAATGCAAAAGCAACAATTTATTTCCCTTTCTGTGAAAAGTGTCCCGTATCCAGTTTTAAGCGGCGTTAATAATCAATTTTATTCTATAAATTTTCAAAAATAAACGTAATATTTGCTCTAAAAAAGTTTAATAACGGAATTTCCTTGATTGAATTTTTGCAATTGGCCACGTGAGCTATCCAAAAGATTTGCATCGCAACAATTAGATGCTGACTAAAAATCTTCAGGCCTGACTTAAGAAGTTATTTCAATCTATAGACTACCCTTTCCAAACTATATGACACTAATTGTTGAAACGGATGTTTTTTACCCAAAAAAGTATCAACCTGAATTGTATAACTTAGAAACTGATTTTTTTTAATTAAAAAAAAATGTTGTATCGAAACTTATTGTTCAAAATGCATGTTTTATAATTACAATTTGAAAAGTTTCACTTGCATAAATTTTTTTAAGATAATATCCGAAATGATTTTTTTATCTGTGTGGAAAAGTACGGTATGGAAACGTATTCAAAATTTTTTGATTTATATTTGTTGTTTCTTTTTTGAACAAAAATTGTTTTGTTGGAACTTTTCGTTTAAGAAAAGGGAGTAAAAGGGAAGTAACATACAAATTATATAAGAAGTTCTAAAACGGTTGAATAGTCAACCCGGATTTCTATGATGCGCAGTGTTAGTGTTTGACGACTGCAGTTATCTATCAAAGACTACTAAGTGATGGCTAAAAATAAATATACGAGTTAGAAACTTATGTCAATCATAAGACATGTGTTTTTTTTTAGCTAACGGGAAATCGAGTTTCTGGTTATAAGCTGGTAGTGGCTACAATTTGTAATCTTCTTTTGATTTTGATCATTTTTTCAACTCGAATATGAATGGTAAAAAACGAATAAAAGTTTTGTTTGTCAATAGCCTAAAAAGTAACTTTCAGCTTAAATTTTGCTGAATTCGTTTGAACTCATACACCTTTTCAACATTTAAACTGAATAGAAATTTTATCTGGATAATTGATTTTAATTTTTTATGTTTTCTCTATAAAAACTATTTTTTTATTGTCCAACATTTGAAATCACAGTTGGAATTTTTTTGAAGCTCACCGAATGTTCATTTGTGTAAGGTTGCTTTGACTACTGACATAACGATATATTGCGATTTTGTCTTTGCCATTTGTGCGCTTGTTTGGAAACCTGAAAGCGGAGGTTCGATTCTTGCAGGCACTCCAAGTTTGGCTAGAAATAGCATAGGTTGACAAAATTGATGACCAGAAAAAGTGTAGGTAAAACAGTGGTATCAGGGTCCGGGTTAAAAACAAATGTGTCAAAAGGGGTTCCAAATCACGCTAATTATAAACAGATATAGCAATTAAGTACAGCAATGGGCACAGCTCATTCGGTTTCAAGACTTTTCTAATCGTAAAAAAACCTGCGTCATTTGCACTTATTTATGTTGTTTTAATTGTCATCAGCGAGGCAATAAATTGAACACTTTTGAAGGACTTTATTTACCGTAGGAGCCCTGTTAGTTCCTTGAAGCACCTCTATCACACTTGTACCAAAAAGTATTATATAAAAATCCATGCTTCTTTATGCCATTTTATAGGGAGGTCCTCGCCAAAAATTTCAGATTCAAAATAAATTATTTTTCGTAAGAAATATAAAAATTGCTGAACAAAGGTGTAGCAACCTGATCATGGCACTCCAACGGTTACAGTTTTGGAATTTTGTTTCATTTTTTATCTAAATGCATATCAAAACATGCACCTTTTGAGCTTCAAACAACCTAGAAGACTGTATATAATCTATATAAGAATCTATATAATGACCAATTAATGCAAGAGCAACATTTTATTTCCCTTTCTGTGAAAATTGTCCCGTATCCAGTTTCAAACGGCATTAATAATCAATTTTAATATGATTTTAGTACCAGTCTTACAAAAATTGAGAAAAAAATGATTGTAATAACTCAATAATTGATAATAATCTCTCTTTTTGAAATCAAACATAATCAATTATAATACATTATAATCGATTATAATCGATTATTTTAATCCGAAATTCTGCTTCAATTATTTGCAGAAAAAATCCATTATAATTTATTATAATTGTTTATAACCCCTTTTGTTTGCCTATTTTGTCTTCGACCTTGCACCTGAATTGCTAATATTTCATGCTATGTGTAGACGTTGGTTTATACGAAAGTTGGGAAAATTGTTTTGAACAGTCTTAAAATCAATTCAAATTTATAACGTTTTTCTTTTTTCATT